AGCTACTTTGATTCCTTGCGATCTTGCTACGGCACGAAAAGTGCAAAAACGCATAATCGCATCGGCACGCCTGGTGCGTTCCAGCCCGGGTTTCCAAAAAAAAAGAATAAATTTCAGTTCAAGAAGAGATTTTAGTTTTTTTGCAGTTGCGCCGGCAAAAGGATTAAATTTTTTATAAAAATTTGAAGCTGATACTGGCTGTGCTTGCACCCTTATACGGTCCGCTACACATTTATCATCTGTCGTTATTTCAAACAAGCCAGTTTCGATCTGAAAATCCTGTCCACAGTTCACTTTCTGTAGAAATTTGAATTGCTTCCGAGTGTTTTTGTCTCCAAGTAGCAGTGCATGACAGCAACAGCAACTTATTGAAAAAGCTGCCTATGGATTCTTCTTCTGAAGCTTGTTTGAGAGCAAACTGATGGCTTCCATAGCAAGCATCACCAACAGTGTATCACTGGAAGTGAAGAGGGACTGGCCATTTTCAGTGGTACAGTCAAAACTTCTTAGACCTTCAATCTTTATTTCACTATAATAAAAGTTTTGCAAATTACCCAACAAATTTCAAACAATCAATTGAAAATAACCTTGCGCAGGAGCGGTATTTCGAATCACATGACTCTCCCATGCGGATCAGCTCACTCATCGGGATACCTTCTCCTGAGGATAAATCACTTAGTGTTCGATACTTCTCACATTCCTTCAAACAAAAAAATCCATTTGAAATTTCAGAAGACTGTGAATCTTGTAAAGTTTTGTAAAAAGAAGCTACAGGAATCGCAAAAATTACGCGGCCTTTTGTTAAAAGACTCACGATACTATTGAAATGCAGACTTAGGCACATATAATTTCAACTCTTTTTTCTTGGTGTGCAACACGATACAGATAGCTAATCTGTTTTTTGTACTTCGCATGGTTAGGCTAAAAATGGACACCTGTCGGACAAAATGTTATTATAGTTTGATATTTTTATCGGACGGTGCACTATGTCATAAGGGCCCTACAGACTTTATTTAAAGTGTTTAAAGAAGCGGTGTGTACCTGATAATTAATATTTGTACCAATTTGAGTTAACGTGAAATTATAAGATTTATTCAAAAATTTTATCCAAAAAACAATTAATAGCTATAAAATTGGTTCGATTATACTAAAACTTCTAATAAAGACCAGGGTCGAAAGGCCTGGAATAGTTGCGCTTGGTGTGTGGAGTTATTATTAACATAGGGTACCCACTATGTCAGCCCGAACAGTCTTAGTATTATTATTAATAAAACACATATTGAATACCAAAAGTTTTAGCTGAGATTATCGGCCTATTAATTTGCATATTACCTCTGCTCTGCCTCACAAATAGGCGTTGTATGGGTAGGGTAAAAAACAAACTAGTGGGCGTACGGCTTGCACAATTTCCACACTATTGGCGCGAAGTCGGTACTAATTGAATAAAGTGAGGTTCGATAAGGATAGATCAGGAGTAAATCACTGCTGTGGTATTAGGTGGTGATGCAAGTTGTCAGTCTGCAGTAAATCGTCAAGAGGGTGGGAGAGAATACAGAAATAGAGGCGGGAGAAAGCGACTGCCAAGCGGGGGAATGGCAATGGCACCTGCTGGCGCATTGCTGCGTAATACCACATCAGCTGATTAAGGCCACACGCAAATGAGAAAAGCACGAGAAAGTATATGAGGAGAAATTTCACGATATCCAAAACCATGCGACCTGAAAAATAATCGCTGTACAGTAAAATGCTACGTCAAAATGATTAAAAAGTTCGCAGTATTTTTCTTATCACAAAATCTGGCCCTCTTTCCAGACATTTTTGCTCTGTAAAACAGTAGAGCTCCATAAACCCTTCTAACTGCTCATCTGGTGAAATTTATATTGAGATCTTCGACCAATAAAGACTAGAACGGGCAGACAGGTCAGGGACCTGAACTGAAATCCCTTCCTTCGAGGAAAAGCCACCTGCTGCCAGCTGGGCCTAGCAAAACAAACAAACCAAGTGATATTTTGAGTGGTCCAAGATGTGGATTAACAGTGAATATGTGAATTAATTTCAAGGACGAGAATATATTGGCTGCTGCGAAGGCGCATTCTGAGATCAAAGTCGGTTCCCACGCATCCCAGTCACGCCGTAAGATTCGGCGTCCCAAATGCCGTGTGTGAGGGTTGCGAATCTCGGCCTCTACCTAAAATAAACGCAGCAAATTAATGCTGAGCAGCATCATAGTTACAAACGAATCTGATCAACAACTAGAGAACCAAGGTTTATTATCGTCGGTGCACAAACAAGCTTTTTATGCGTTTTTGCTATGCATCGCTGTAGCGCTGCTCAGCAAACGCATATTTTCGAGAGGCTGTGTGTGTGTGCGGAAAGCGCGTGCATTTTGTCACCCACTTTCATCTCAGCAACCAGGAAAGCTGGGAGGCTGAAACTTCGGATATA